GAATTGCATGCTTAACAACATTTTGAACTTGTAAAAGCTTCCAAATAATTAAGATAGCTCTAGAGCCAGCAAGACTAGTTATATACTCAGAGGTGGGAATCATTGGGGTGCCTTAACTGTGCTATGGCATTAAAGACATTGTTAGCAAACAATGCATACCCATGAGTGGAATTGTTTGCCAGGTTAGCTCGTCCTTCGTTCATTTTGGTAATATGTAAGGGTGGGCACGATTTGTGATGCTATTGTAACCTATCACGGGCCGTGCTTATTAAAACTGTACAATATCGGTACTGAAGAACTTCAAAACCAATGACTTTTATCAGACATTGTCTAAACCTAATGGATCACGGTGAAGAACAAACAAAAAAAGAGGACGAGCTAACCTGGCAAACGTTTGAAGATTGAAGGTGGCGCTAAAGAACACATGGCGAGACTCAAGAACAACGGTGGCCGACTGGCCGTGGAATTGGAGAAAGAATTTGGGCAAAGTAATGATAAGATTGCGGAAGTGGGGAATGAGGCGGCTGTGGGGGTATTTATAGGAGTTGGAAGTCGGATTGACCCAAAAGTCCAATGGTCAAACCCGGCGGTGCAGACTGATCGGCCATCAATGTGGGTCGCTATCAGCCAAATGTTGCATTTGAGGATAGCTATAGTCAACCGTTGCAACAGCTAGAAGCTCCTCTCTTATCTGCTATGTCCTCGTCCTCGAGGAAGGCACAGTGTTTTCCCAAAGGGGGTTTTGAGCGAGGGACCCCAACGAGTAAGAGTGAGAGACTCGGAGAGGGTACCACACTACCAACGAATCACTTCCCTTCACTTTAGACTCATCCTCGTCTTGAAAAGCGAGAGACTCCTATATCCTATACATATGCTTGTACGAGGTAGCCAACATTTCAAGAAAATGTTCAAACTCCCGGAATTTGGTGAAATTTCAATTTTACAATGATCTTTATCTTTTCATCCACTTGCATTCAGAGATTTTGGCTACTTACACCTAGTATCATTGCACTCTTGCTCGGGAGACTTATGATGGATACCACGGATATGGGGTATCCTGCCCTTGAAAGAATACATCGCAGCCCAAGATAGAATGCCGGTTATCTAGAATTCACCAAAATGACATGGAAATTGCTTTAAAAATAAAGAGGTTCTCACCATGCACTGGTCCAAAATATTTGATAATAATCCTCCTTCATTGATCTTGGGAAGCATAACCTTAAGAGTTCTGAGGTGGGAAGAAATCTGATGCATGACCCAGTTGAATAGAAGCCCGCCATCATAGTTCTCTTCCCTTCCTGATGTATCATCAGAAAATATTGCACGGTAGTGGCTAACAACGTCAAAAAGATGCATTCTGTGACAATTAATCATCCCTTTGAGATATTCGTAAGCACTTCTTTGTTCCAAGTCATCAAGAATCCCGGTAATCCATGCCTCGCGGCATCGTAAAAACTGTTGGGTAAAAGAGTAGGATAATGAATTTGAAAAGTTGCATTAACTATATACATGATATGGAAGAGTGGAGCAATGCTGGATAAGGTTTATAATGACATTGAAAGCTACCTGTAGGCGCATTTCATACTCAGTGAACACTCCTATTCGCTGCAAGTATCCAATGATACGGAGGCATTCTGGCAACTATACAATGGGAATGAGGAGAAAACAAATTTAACAGCAGCTACAACTGTATCCCAAGCATGTGTAAATATACCTGAATGTTTGATCTAAGTTTTTGAAGCAACTGAGAGAGAAGGCATTGGATGATCTCCCGAACTTCTGCTGCAAGAGCTTGGATGACAGACAATCTTTTGACAGAAAGAAGGCATGAAATATAAAGGTTATTAGTTAGTATATGCTTACAACATCTTTATACACATTAGAATTATAGTGTATATAGGCGACAAGGGACGTATAAACTCACTTTGGGTGCACTGTTGAAAGCTTGGCAACAAATGCCTCCAAATGAAGAGCTTCTTCATAATTTCCGTTCCTAACACACCTATAACATGAAGGGATGCAGTCATTAATTGCAAAACCATTAACAAAAAATAAAAACAAAAGACATGTTCAGGTGTTAGGTATGAACCAATAGTTATAGGCATATTGTATAAAAATCTTTTAATGATACCCCACCACCAAAAAACAGGGATAGTGCTCACGTCCTTATTCAATTAAAAACGATGATACCAACCATCAATTCATATATCTTATATTGTATAACATGACAGTAAGTTATCCTTCAACTTTGTCAAAGACGTACGTATCCATAAGCTGAGGAATTTCAAGCAAGTCAAGTAAAGTACTGTGATTGGCAAGCAATGTTTGGTTCATCTTTCTCTTCTCTAATATTTCTTCTGCAGATTCGATGAACTCAGTGCAACCAGAAGTTAGCTTAGGAATTTCATCTATCTGAAGAAGAAAACAAGGAATGTTATTCTTACATTTAATAATATTATTGTGTGAATATTCCATAAAAACAATACAATAAACAAAAAGTTAAGCTACTTTATCAATATATCCTACAAGTTTCAAGATTATGTTATGACAAGCATGAAGAGTAGAGAAGATTTTCTACTTCTGACATTCCCTCAAAAAAGGGGGATACCTTCAACCAAACCTCATTTTCCGTACATATCAGATACGGAGTATGTGATACAAGGACATAAAATGCACCAGCTAAGTTATAAGCTGAAAGTACTCTTGACTTACTAAAAAGATGAACTAGTAAGGTAATATAAACAAGATCACACTAGAGTAGTGCAATGTCTCTTGTCTGTCAATTAATAAATGCCAACATACTGCGCTATAAGTCTTAAAACTGGCAAGGAAGAAAAAATGGACTGGCAAACTCTTGCAATTGAAGTACACGTTTTTAAACGATTGTTATGGTTCCAAAAACAGAAAACATATGAAATTACATCGATTTCTTCTAGTCGAGTAACTCTTTTCTTCTTCTTTTTTTCCATTTTTACTGTGAGGCATCCATCTGATCAAAGTGAGATATCTCCACTCTGTGGATGTGTCTCACTATTAGAAAAACAGAAAAAAAGTTGCCACATTGAGAAAAGTAATGATACTTAACCTAGAGGGCAGAAGAAAATTACCATAGATTCAAGGTGTTTATCAATAGAAGAGACGTCCTCTCGAATAGCAAGCAGCGCATCCGCAGAGGAGATGAACGCCCGGTAGTTTCCCACCGCCACCTCCTGCATCTGCCTCCGAATTCGTTCCGCATCGACTCTTAGAAGCTCCGGCTCCTGAAATTCGAAAGGAATCAGTTGTCGTTCAAATGCGTATAATTACAGATATACAAGCGCTATGCTTGTACCAAAGAGGACCTTGTGAAGCCGATCAAGAGTGAAGGAGAGGAGTTCGGAGACGTATTGCTGCTGAGAGGCGGAAGCAAGTGGGAGAAGGCCGGCGACGGTGGATGCTTCGTCGGAGGGAACTTCCGTCTCCATTTTTTTCAGATCGCGAAGATTGGATGTTTCGTCTAAGCTTGTGAAAATTGAAATCCGGACTGGCCTTTCAGGTAATTGTAGAAAGAAAAAAAGAACCAAATTTTGGGGTAATGTCAAAGTTTTTAGGACCATGCTACATGTACCCCATATTTGTACTCCAATTTGTATCTCAAAGCTTTAACCTGACATTTAATGTAGGTGCAACACTAACATATTACCAGTTTTGCAACTACATTTAATGTCAGAGCAAAACATTGGGATACAAAATGGGATACATGTAGGATTATCCAAGTTTTTAACTCAAGTTTCATACTTTCTCCTTCCCAACTACGTTTACTACATTTCACTAAAGAAAATTTAATTTATTTATTTCTATATATAAAATTAAGAAATAAAAATTATTTATTCGATAAAATGAGTATTAAATATTTTAAAATTAAGAAATAAAATATTAACTCAATTTAATTTAGTTTTGACTTTTTGCAGTTTAAGTTAATAAATTATGACTATTAATTAAATAAGATGAGTATTAAGTATTGATTCAATTTTTTTTTTAATTTTGTACTATCTTTTCGAAATCTTATTTTATCTAATTAACATGCTATATAATTTCTATTTAATCTAAAGTCCAAGGTAAAAATGATTAATTGCAAAAAAATTAAACCGGACAAATATTCAAAGACGAGGTAGTACTACGTGATTTTATGAAAAAGAAAACTGCAAATATAGGGAGTATAAAAGAAAATATTTTTTTTGTATATGCTTCTCACATTTCAACATTTCGTTAATGATTTTCTAAAAAAACAATTTCAGTTTTACTAGCTTACACTAATTTATACTCTGTATTTCATACACTGGTAGTAGTTTATTATTATTATTATTACTATTATTATGATTATTATTATCATCATTATTATTATTATATGTTGATACTTATTAATATATGTTACTCGTATAATTTAAGACATTATCTTATTCTTCCATAATTTTTGTTCTTTTTACACACTTTGTTCCAAAATTAACTTCTCACACAAAAATGGCGCAAAGTTTAGGAAGAAAATAAGTATATCATCAAAAAATTTACAAATGAGAAAGAAAACATAAGAGTAAATCACATATTCATACTTTTAAAACTTAGTCCCTTCATCCCAAAAAATGTTCTTAGTTTGACTTAGAATAAAATTTAAGATAAATAAAAATGCATAGTTGAAAATGATATAGAAGAGAGAAAAATTATAAACCGCTCAAAAAATTTCAAGAGGAAAAAATATGCGTTTTGGGACACTCCTAAAAAAGAAATAAGGGATCTTTTCGTCGTAAATCTGTCAACTCAATGTGAACCTTCCAAATACAAGATCACGAGTTCAATTTTCAATAGAGACAGTAACTCTGGGCTGAGGTCTATGCCGAGCTCCAAATGTGAAGCCCCCCGCAATACGAACCAGACCGAGCTCTGGGCTGAAAAAAAAAACATAGCATATAACTTTTCTACTTGACCTGAAACATACCCAAACAACACTTCGATGAGGTCTATTCCACCCTAAGATAGTGCTGTGTTTAGTAACACCATTAACCAAACACCACATTTAGCTTAGCGTTTTGTTCGAAACGCTAAAAAACAGACGAAGAATGTGAAAACGAATTGCAATCACTTAACACACATATACAAAGATAACCAAAATTCAAGTCAGACACCATACAGTAGACTGTTAATGGTTGTTTTACACTATAAACAAGCAAATATGACTTCACCAAGTTTACCCCCACCAAAAACAATGTCTCTTGTTCGATCCATTATAGACCAAAATATGACCGCCCGTCTTCCCTCCTCTCTAATTTCCATCCTTTGGCAAAGACTGTAGGCGCAGTTTATGCCTTCAAAAAATCCTCTCTTTTTTTGTTCCGACAACACGGGCAATTTTTTCTTTCAAAACAACACACATCTGCCATCCGATGGGACCAAAAACTTTGATTACCACACAGCCGGTCAATTCAGTTCATCTCTTGCAATTTTGTTGCTCAAACTTTAAACATAACAAATAAACGCGTCACAATTTCTTCTACAACTCTTTTTGAGCACTGCGAGCTGCTTGAGATTGAACAGCATGCTGCTTTTGTAGTTCTTTAAACTTCTCCATCAATTCTTGGAATGAAGGACGACATTGTGCCTCGCTGGATTGGAAAAAAAAATTGTTGTAATTCGTATTTGCAAGAGTGGTTTGTTTGTGCTGCACTGCTAACAAGGCTAAATTTAGAGGGCATAAATAGATACCAACCTATGCCAGCAGCTCTCAATTATAGAAGCCCACTGTGGGTCCACATCGTTGGGAATATCTAGCCGTTGATTCATGAACCCTACAGCCCCGATCACCTTCATCAATTTCCCCAAATGTTTTAGTTTCTTTACTATGTACTTGTAGTAACTCAGAATTGTGTGGAAGATGTATAGATTGATTGTACCTGCATCGTGTTGAGGTTATCCCAGGGGATCTTTTCTGTGGCAAGTTCCCACAATATTACCCCAAAACTGTACACATCAGCCCTATATCAATGCAAACAAGACAACCTCTAAAACTCAAAACTTTAAATATGTGTATCATTATTTAAAGAAGAATATCAAAACTGGTTGAAGGGGATGACATACTTCTCATCCGAAGGCTCATTGCGAAGAACCTCTGGAGCCATCCACTGAGGCTGCAAAAGGGAACATTTTGAGATAATAAGTCAAGTTCTCCCCAAGAGTAAAGATACTTCATTAAGTGAACTCCAAAAAAAGGGTTGCGAATTTCAGTCAATACCGTTCCTTTACCCGTTTTTGTTGTCAGATATGTTTCGAGTTTGAGCCTTGACAATCCAAAGTCCCCCACCTGTTAAAAAAATTTAAACTTGAACATTTCTACTCCAAGCACAAGATATGAAGCTAAGGAGGTTGGTTTGGCAAGTATGCTACAGCTCATCATGAAAGAAAAACAAAACCAGACCTTCACGGTCCAGTTCTTGTCAACAAGAAGGTTTGAAGATTTCAAATCACGGTGAATAAGAGGTGGGTTGAGATGGTGGAGATAATTCATTCCTCTTGCCTGCAAGCAGAAGCATAAAGAAACACATGATGAGTCTTTATAAATGCAATTGAAGTAATATTGACTTTGCATAGAGTTAAAGAAAGTTAAGATTCCTATTTATGAAGAGATGAAAATAATATGAACCACACAATTCCTTTCTTAAAATAAAATGAGAACATCCCAAACAGGAAACACAAAGTCAAACAAATAAACACTAAGTCACTAGATTTGCAACAAATACACACAAATTGCAAGATGTATTACAAAAAGGAAATATGAAACAAGATTTGAAGAAGAACGGACTATAAATGATGGAGAATGCTTCATGAGATAAATTTAAGTACTATTATATGCATAATTGCTTTTGAGTGTGTGTAACCCAAAACATTTAAGTGATCAATTTATGAGTAAATGACATAATGGGTAGGTGTGATGGAATTGGGACAAAAGCTTGAGGACAAACATGTCAAATAAACTTGAAAAATCTACAAAAAATGCTTATTTAAGGGTTTTTGGACTTCAGCAAACACTACAATGAGTCCAAACGGATCAAACAATGTATAAGCTGAAAAAACACTCGCAAACACACCTGACAAGGCTGACATGGAAAGCGGACTTAGAAACTGGGCATTTAAGACTATTTAGTATCCAGTATCCACACCCATGTTAACCTATATCACTTTTAATTTGCCACATCAACAATTTGCAATACTCCCATATTTTATCTCCACACCGTGCAATTTCAATATTACTTTCTAAAGAACAACAACCCAGTAAAATCCCGCGAAAGTAGGGTCTGCTAGAGTGTGTGTACACAAACCTTACCCCTACTTGAAAGTCAAGATGCTATTTAGTACTCCTCTGTCCCAAAATAAAAGCCCAAATCACTATTGACATGACCAAACTTTTTGTACTTTCCCTGCCTATTCTCGTTGCACATTTGATAAATAATATAGTCATGTCACCTATTGTTTTATACGGAGTAGATTTTTTAATATAATTTTTAAACATTTATTTTGGGACAAAGTGAGTATTAGTTTCTAAACATTTTTTAATAAAATCTTTAAAAATTAAACGAATGGTGGCCATCACTCATGAGCCATGACCCCACCCGATAAGACATTTTCTAGATTGCAATTTTACATTACACTTAAGCCAACTTCATTTTACTCCGTAAGAAGTTACACAATGAAATTGCCACTTATGATTGCAAACTTGCAATGTTGCCCCTTTCATGGGTGTGGATAGCCATGTTGAATTTCCAAGACTCAAAAAGGTGCTTACTTAAATGATACTTAAATGGGAAGTTCAGATTACGACACTAAAAACAACAATTATCCTTTTTAAAACTAGCATTCTCATATGGGGGTAATTATTCAAAAGAGTAAATGCTGCTGTTCGGATGAGGATTCCAGCTATTTAGAGAAATCAAATTCCGATTTTATCAACATTTATATCTGTACTAGAGCAGCCACCACAGAGTTGCACGACATTGTTTTTTCTATCTATGAGATTAACGATATGCCTCATAATTTAGCTGAGTGAAATTGACAGTGTTCTCTCTTTCATAATCTGTTTTTTATTGATAGAATGTTGTAGAAAAAACCCCATAATGATTACTGTTCTAAAATTGTCTCATCACCCCCTTTATGTTGTAGAAAAAACCCAAAACAAAAACTCTCCGGCTCACAGTAAAAGTCAAATTGGGAGGGGGGAGGGGGGTGTTTTGGTTCATAAAGAGTGTTGCTTTATAAAACCAAGACACCATATTCAACAATAGGAGTATCATGAGAGGGTAATATTGTCAAACAATGTCCATCGAATGATTCTTTAACCTACACAATTTCTTTAACCTACACAATTTCTCCCAAAATGACAATTATTGTATACTGGCGGAACTAATAAAAAACAAGAACAGAGGTACTCACTATATCTAACGCCATGTGGACACGCCGCTTCCAATCCAATCTGGATATATTCCTCTGAAGTAGCCTAAATAAACTTCCTCTTTAAACAAGAAAGGCACAATTCTACTTGTAGGTTAGTCAGGGAACAGGAGATTTCAATATAAATTGCTTGGGAGAAGGGAAATAAAATATTAAAAAAAGGAAGAGGATTATTGAAAATATGAAGTTGATTATTGACCTTGGGAGGAACTCTGTAACAATGCAGAGACGTTGAGGAGAAGTTACTGCGCCCATGAAAAGGAGAATATTTGGATGCCGAAGTCTTTTCATGAGTGAGACCTTCAGAAAACAAAAGAAATAAGTAGGAAGTTGTGCTATAAATAAAATTTACTTCCTCTGCCTCTCGATAACTTATGCTTGCACGTATGTTTTCATTGATCATTTGATAAAATAAAATATTCTGGTCACGTCTTGCTTTGTGGAACTTTTGAAGTAGTTTTGAACGGTGTAAATTGTACTTTTTTTCTATATTAATTTGTAAATAAAATCATTTTAAAAGAGGAGAATTTGCACGTTTTTCAATGTGGGAAGATTAATTTGGGGCGGAGGGAGTATGTATACATAAGATGCTTCCCCACATTGAAAAATTGTGAAAGTTTTACTTTCAATGTAAAAGGATATCAATTTTGGCATTTGCTAGTTCCTTATGCATAAATCTAATTTTCAAATTTGTTACTCTCAATGCTATTAAAACTCATCAGTTGAGGTTAAATATTTTTTACATAAATGTGTGTACTGCAACACAAGCAGTACATTGATCAAACACAAAAAGAGATTGAAGTGACTGCAAATAGCCTCAATCTAGAAATTTTGTGATATAACATCTCTATGTTCACAAGCAGCACTCGGAAAAATCAACAAATAACAAATGTACTTGCCTCTTGTCGGAAGGAAAAAATAACATCATCAGAATATTCTTGTTTGGAAAATACTTTAACAGCAACATCCTGAAAACATACACACCATTTTACAGAAGGAAAAAATAACATCATAAGAATATCCTTGCTTGGAAAATACTTTAACAGCAACACCCTGAAAACATAAACATCTTTTACTACAAAAGAGGATCAAAGCATCTCAATGATCTCGTCATACTTTTTCCCTTCTTCCTAGTATTCGAATAGTGTAATGACACTAAATATAGAAATGACAAACCCTATTTTAAGAAAGTATGATGTCCTTTGGTGTTGCAAAAAATTAGGTAGATCATAGAATCCATCATCCACCCAGCTAGTAATTATAAAGCATAAAGTTACTAGTGAAACACGATATAATCACAGTATTTCTCAATTCATGCTAATCCCAAACACACATTTTCTTGATGCATTAACTACTTGACAAATATTTTATCTCAATTGAGCAGAGAGAACTTTTTTAAATACTTTTTCCGGAAAGATCTATTTATGTCAAGGAGGAGTCAAAAGGACATACTGATCCATACCACAGAGCATGATAAACATTCCCACATGAACCTGGGGAAGAGATTGAGAAAGAATGTTAGAACAAGAAGTAATAGATCGTTGGTGTAAAAAAATAACGCAAATAATTTGAATATGGGACCTGTGTAGGCCATCCATCAATACACTGACCCTATGTTTGGTTCAAGGAATTTGAAAGGGAAAAGAAAAGAAAATGAAGTGGAAAACTGATTTTATTGTTTGGTTAGAAAGGAAAAGTGGGAGGAAAAGAAATTAAGAAGGCAAAATGTATTAAAAGAATGGAAAACCAATTTCCTTCCATTTTAATGAGGAAAGTGTGAGAAAATCATTTTCTTTTCTTTTCCTTCCAAAATCCTTGAACCAAACGTAGTGTGAAAGTAATCAGTGGCATATTCCTTAAACATAATCAATGCTACGGAGTACTTTCTTGCAGGTGATAACATAGCATCCACTAAAATGTGGAAACATTAAAGGTTATTCTGTTAATTATTATGTCTATTTGTGTTACTTCCATTGCAAATGAGTAATACCTCAAGAAGAGTTGGCATGAACTGATAGTAAAATTCAGTAATATATTTTGGCAAATCATCCATGCACATTTGTGATTGGTTGTAAACATACCTCTCTGATGTGATTTCAATTTTTTAAAAACACAAGAAAGAAAATATGAAGGATATATTTTCGTAATAATATGCTGCAAAATAGAAACTTCAGTACCTTGACCAATATGTTCCCCAATAGTTAAATCTTCCCATAAAATCTCATAGTCCAAGCAGTCAGCATCCATGTCGACTTTGTTAAGAGCAGTACTGCTGGTACTCCCAGCACTACTTGCACTGCTTGTGCTATTAACATTAAAAGATGATGACCATGATCCTGAAGCCTCATTTGTGGTAGTGTGGTTAGTTTCACACCCATGAATTTCCTCTTTTATTTCCATGCTGGAGTTTCTTTTATCCTGGCTATCCTCATTGTCTTGGTCATTATGTAACCAGGGCCAGCCGAAACGAGTGTTTCTTGTCTCAAATCCTTCTTGTTCACTTCCTTTCCATGGCCATGATAAAGTCCTCTTTTGAATCCATGCTTCTGCCTTAGAGGTAATCATCTTGGAGATTCCAGGTTTATCCTCGTTCTCATCACCAGAATCTCTGGAATATTTTCTAACTGAGTCTTCTTTGGCAACAGTAGAGAACACTCCAAATGGAGAGGGATGTAAATCTCCTCTTGGAGTACTAGCTCCACTAGAAGTTCCATCCTCTCGGTGATCATCGTGGAAAACATTGTCAGAATGATTGCTATCTCCACTTCCACCTTCACGAACCATTCCACTCTCCACATTTTTCATTTTTGACTTAACCTTGTTGCTCACTTTCGAAGCCTATTGAGTTCCCCAATTAAACATTAAACATGTGTTGGTATTAAGCATGAAGGAACTATTGTTATGCAAATGAAACTCCCTTGGTCCAGAAAATAGAGTTTTGTTTCAAGCAATTAGTTGTCTCAAAAGAGTCAAGCCTCAGACAACATGAACTTTTTTTAAACCAACAAATAAAGTTAAAAAATAAAGTTATAAACAGCCTCCCTACTTCCGAGTAGGGGCAAGGTCTGCGTACACACACCCTCGTGGGATTCACCTGGGTTGTTGTTGTTGTTGTAAATAAAGTTAAAAAGTATCAGTAAAATTAAGGGTGATTTTGACAGTAATAACTAACCAGAATTTAAAAAGTGATGCATTGATCAAACATGATTTATTTTGAAATGGAGGTAGTAATGGGGATCACTAACCAAATTGGATAATTTCGAGGCAATTGCAACTTGCAGAGGCTGTTGAGGATCAAGACCTAGCTTTGACGAAGCAATGCTCCTTGCCCTACTAGAACTTGATTCACAATCCATTATCTTTGCCCCCGTGAATGCTGTGGTGGTCTCTTGGAGTGGTCTGATATCAGTTGATACGCATATAAGCCCAATTGGAGTATCATTATCGCAGAAAGGGGTGTTGGTTGCTATGACAGAAAATCTACACCCTAGCTTATTCCTCACTGGGAACTGTCCAGTCCAACTCTCACCGGCAACTACACGTCTAATAATATCATGAGCCAAATTTAAATCTTGAGAATCCACAACGAGGTCCATTATACTTTGCCCAAGAGCTTCCGCAGCTGAATAGCCATACAGGCGCTCCGCAGTTCGGTTCCTGCACCAGAAATGTGCCCATTCTCTCAAAATAAACCTAAATAATTCAAGATCATATACTAGCATCTAATGCAAGAATAGCCTCCCAAGAATGTGGTTAATTTGAACCACCAATCTGAATAATAATTGTACAGAGGAGCAGTATAAGAGAAAATGAAAGTCACTCACCAGTATATTATTCTACCACTAGGATCAATTATATGCACTGCTTGGCCCATTGACTGCAATATATTCAAATGTTGTCTGTCACTAAATTTCACAGCGGCTGGACCTCTGACACCACAGCTTGCACCACCATCCCCTTCATGTGCTGTAAACTCGTCTTTACTGCTACTCTCCCTCTGCAGCGGAGAAGAATGACGGAACGAGGCAGAGCCCCTTCTCCAGGCAGCAGCGGTGCCACCTTCGAATCCGCCGCCGCGCCTTCCGCCACCAGCAGGTTTAAGCCGCCGCGGCCGTTGAGGAGAGATAGAGTGAGACCTTTGCCTCTCTGATCTGTAATCACTCGAAATCGCGAGCTTGGACATCTCCTGTTTCAACCGCGCATGCCCCGCCTCCAGCTCCTGGATCTTCTTCAACAGCTCCTCCGCAGGCGGTATCCCCGGCGGCGGCTCAGCTGATGCCGTTGTATTTTCCATTGCAACTCAACTTCAAATCCTACCAAAAACTAAGTATTCCCTAACTACGTACACTTACCGAAGAATCGATTCAATGGATCTACAGCTACTTTCTACAGCGACCTTGAAATCTATACTCGAATCTATTGAACAAAATTGCAGCAGAAATGAAGAAATGAACAGGGAGCCGAAGAAGCCAGCCGCCTTTTTGCTCACTATTCTTATTGCGCTTCTTTCAAATCCTTCTGGATCATTTCATTGGCCTTCCTTCCCTTTCAAACACCGCGGGATGCTAGAATGACTTCAATAAATACTAGTCCGCCGTCCACGGGAGGGGGAGTTATGACCGCCTGAGTGCTTTGACCGACTACTCACCGCGGCGGCGCGTGAAACGGTACGCGACGCCTCGGCCAATAATGCGATGATAATTTTATTTGGGGGGGGGGGGGGGTTGTTTTTCTTGCTGGGGAAGGAGCTTTCCCGGCCTCCACTACGACCACTACGTGGGTTCCATGTTTCTCATTTCCAATTAAAACTTAAAATGGCAATTTTTTATTCTACGGAGTATTTTTTTTAATGATTAAAAAACGACTTCACTACAGTTAAGTTCCATTTTTTTTAACATGAAAATAATTATGAGTAGAACCAACTTGGCAACTTGCCAATTTGCCGTATATCTCATCCACTAACTTCATACACTATTTTCTCGTATCTTTTAAAACAAATTTGTGGTGGAAATTTTATCAAAAAAAAATATTTAAGAAATCTTCCTACATAAAACTAAATCATACCGGGTATGATTTTTGTTTCAAACATATTTTTTTGTGCAATGGTTGACTAAACTTATTTTTAATTTAATTTATAAAAAAATTTGATGTAAAATAAAAAAATATAATTTATATTCAACCCCAGTATGGAGATGTGGAGATGTGAAAGACTTATGATGGCTAGTGAGAGTGTCTACAGGGGTACACCTAAGAAGAGTTTGAAGTAGTCAAAAAAGAATTACCAGAATATATGACCTTATTAACTTATATAAGAGCGTTTGGAGATATATGACTAAAATGTTGGGCTTCTCCTTGAATCAAGATCCTTTTGCTGTAGTTTGTGTGGTCTCTCTATGTCTTTCTTGATAGGGAGAAGGAACAAACTATGAATAAAACATATGTCATATCCTCAAAATAGGATTTCAAACTTAAACTCCTCTAAATAGGAGTAATTAACTTAATTAATAAAATAAAAAAAATTATCCCCACACCCGCTGCATTTGCGGCCCTTTTTAGCAGTGTTTATTATTATATTCTTTCTCAATGCATGGCTGCCCTTTTTAATCCAGTTGGTAAGTTATAATGTACGGAGTATTGTAGAGGAAAATGTGAAAGTTAATGTTATCCACATAAATAAAACAGGGTTAAACAGCTTGCTTTTAGGTGTAGGGGTGGGGCATACCCTTAGTTACCGTATAATCTCCATATAGCGCCAATTATAAAGGAGATATTTACGAAGGACAACAACGCCCATTGCTGCAATCGTCATCGACGGTGATGCCCACCACCGCAATCGTCGCCGCTGCATACCTGCCACTATCACTTGAATCTCCATCACCGTCGTTCTCTGCTCCGCCCCACCACACCGCTACAAACCAAACATACCATTGACGCCTTTGGTTTTTTGTCGTTAATTACCACCGACGACATCACCGCTCTATACCATTATCAACAACACTACCATCACAATCCGCACCATCGTCGCCACAGTGCCACATTAATAGTCCATACAGTGTCAAAGAAAGACATAATGTCAAACATGGCACCATATAATGTCACATATGATAATATATAATACCATAGATGCCCATATATAATGTCACATATGCTCATATATAATGTCAGAATGTTACACAATGGCATAATGCCAAACCAAATCCAATGCCGTCCACGATCGCCAATGAGAATTTTGAAGAAAATAGAATTCAATTAAAGATCGAAAAAGAAAATGCTTACTTTTGGAATCATGCTTTGAGGAAGAGAGATGGAGGTGGGCTGCGTGACACAAGTGTGGCGACGAATCTAAGAGGGGTGGGGTGCATGACACAGTTGATCATGTTACTTTATCATCTCATTCATCGCTTTCTCCGCCGTCTTTTATTAATTATTTTCAAAAAAAAAAAGAATTGAAGAAGACGGAGAAAATGAAACCCTAACAAACTTTAGGGCAAAAAAATAGTACTATTATTCCGCATTAATAATAAAATTTGCAAAACATATTCTTTATATTAAAAATTAATAGAATTTGTGTGATTATAGTTTAAAAAATAATGTTGACCATAAAATCTTTATTTTAAAAAGATTTAAAAAAATGAAAGAAAATATCATGACAAACCAAATTGGAACTAAAATTTAGTACCTTGGTATGCGTCATCTGCCTTCTTACTTCTATACATCTACAAATTGGAAAGATGTTCATAAACAAGAAAATTAATTAATCACAATAATATAAAATTAAGGTAAATATAAATCCCAAAAAATACAATAAAAATGGGGTTTTTCTAAAAAGAATAATATATATACTTGGAGGGGACTCTTGACATGAGCTATGCTAAGGCCTTTGATGTTCATCAATTGAAGAACAAGCTTTGGTGTGGCTCCTAATAATAAAAACACACACACAGTTATAAAAAATGGATGGTAGCCCATTTGCATCTATTCATATTATATTCTGTAATGGATATTAATTATATTAGGTAAATTACTCTAATTATAATTTCTATTTTTTTTTCTTCCATGCTCTTTGTACAGTCAATAATAGTTGATCGACCGACCCGCTAATCTAAGGTTTTTTAGAATCATACATTTTAATATGGAATATAGTGTTATAAAAATAAGATTTTAATTTTATTTGTTTGCTAACTACTCATTTTTATGTATAGATTTATACCATCATAACAAATTTTAATGATGTCGCATGATTATCTTACATTTTTCAAAATTTCTTCATATTTAATTTTTTTTATTCGTAATATTGACACTAAGTCATAGAAATTATTTAAAATTTCAAAAAAATTAATAAAACTCATAACCTGTTGGGTCAACCTGAACCACATGACATTGGGTCATGAACATGTAGTTATCAACCCGAACCCGAAGTAACTCGAACCCAAGGTAACCAAACCCGAATATGACCTAACCGACCGGTTTTCCACGTCTACTCGACATATCAGACAAATAAAAAATGATTCGAGAAGGGGCCTTTTCGTTTAACATGCTAATAACTTCCAAAATTCTATGATTTCTTTTTTTGGTAATTCTTTCTTTTCTTAATATGTTAAATATGTTTTTTCATGCATAAAAAACCCCCTTCAATTTTCGGGCATTAAGTATGTACAGATTTTATAAAGTTAATTTCTTTTTTTAAATAGTTAAAACCATATCATTTATATACACAATGCTTTCCTTTTATAAAATCATATTATTTATATACACCGCATTAAATTACACAGGAATCTTATAAGGTATTTTCCTTTTCTAGAATGAAATAAAGTCATATTTGCATATTGCTTAATTATAATTACCGCTGATTAAAAATGTAGATCAAAATCGATGGTCCATAAACGATAGCGTTTGGGCGGGAAAAAGCATGGGGCATAATTCCCTTGCTTTTAAGAATAAGATGATTTCTACAAAAAAAATATATAATTAAAATGCCAATTTTTTTTTTGCCATGTGCTTGTGTAAACGAAATTCCGCCTTAACAATGCAAACATTTATCTATCATTATCCGGTAGGTATGTTAGGTTGTGAAAAGTAGTTTAGAATACTTCAATACTATTGAGTATTAACTATTGAATCATACGATGGATTGGCCAAAACATACTTGTGAAACTCACTAAATTTTAAAAGTCAAAACTAACCCCAGATTTTACATTTGTAAACTGAAATATCAGGTCAAGCTAAGCTCCCATATACTTGTTCATTGGATCTCATAGCATACACTTTAAAACAAGAATTCATACAGAAATAGAAATATGACCAATCCATGAATAGAAATACATACATAAAGAAGAGAAGAGACACGAACCAACGGCCATCTGTCTGAATCAGAATGCGCCACCCCCCTCGCACGCCTACTACTAGAATTCGGCACATTGGATGGATTACTCTTCGTTCTTTTTTGTTTCGACATGGATCCGATCAGAGAATTGGGGAGGCCAAAGATGAGTTTTTGAATACAAAAACAATGCTCAGACCAGAAATATCCATATCTTGGGTTGGAAGTTATAACCCAAAGAGGCAAATATTAAGTTTTTTGATTAGTGTGATTAGCTCACCTGGAGGGAGGAGGGGCCAGGGGGGGAACTCTTGGTTGGGGAAAATCCGGCCCCCTTTTGGTTCCAAATATTCCTCAAAGAATTCCCAAAGGTGTCATAGTGTGATTAGCCAACAATACTCTTGGAACCTCTCTTGGGTGTGGGAAGCTCAAAGACGACGAGGAAATAACATCTTTCGGACTCTCTGATATATTGTACTTCTCCATCCATGGCCTTCAATACTTTCCGGCTCATGCTCAGCCCTAACCCTTCTTGAGTCACCCAACGGCTGCTGTGGAACATGTCTTGCACCAGCTCAGGAGGAAGACCTTCGCCTGGACACATGATCCTTTTCCCAGGAGGAAGAACACATAGTCAGAAATGAAACAGACGATGCAATTAGTCAAGTGTTTGAGCAATAAGTTGTCAAGTAAACCCCCATTCTTATTGGACTTCAAATCATCATAAGCGCTAGATGTGTGAGTGAGTGTAAAGAGATGGACCTTGCATAGTCAGCTGAGGTATCCTCTCTTTCTCTCTCTCTCTCTCCATATGATATAAAATAAACAACAAGCTATCTAAAGTCTATAAGCTTGGGTTTTAATATTATTCACACTATGACACATACTCTCTTATTTAAACTAATGTATTCATGCATTTGGTCACCAACAATATCTTTCTAAATGGAATGATGTACACTTTTATCTCCTCTGCTGGATTATAGCATGTGCACTGGAAGAGCCAGGACTCCCAAAAAAATTAAATTTTTGGGTGCATAAGAAAAATTACGCTTTTGTATGTGTTTTTATAGTAAAACATTCTGCGGGTAGGAAACAATAAAAAATTGAGCGAATAGGGTGGATGGATCTTTCTCTACTATGACAGTGCATATGAGGAAGGAAATTCAAGGCAAATCAAACCGATCAAGTGAAAATATTTCATCTGATTCAAGTCATCAGTCATCACCGTTATAAAAACACAGATTGATGAAAGGAAAGGAGGCAAAATGTTTAGTGTGTACCAAATACCTGAATTCAATACGAACATTGTTTGTGGAATCAGAACTTTGCAGAAAACTAGGGCGGACT